ATATGTCAGCCATTAAACTCAATGAAAATGATATTTTAAACATTTTATGTATATCTATATTGAGTTTAATTACTAAAATACTCGTTTTCGTCTGTTTTACTTAATAAAAATAGGCCAATAGTTTGAATTAAAAATAAATCAAAAGATTAAGTTTAAATTGATAAAATTAAAAATTTAAGATTTATTTTATTTTATTTTATTTTTTTTAGAAAGAGGATTTATTTTGTTAAACGCTCAACCGTTGAGATTTTTTTTTTCTTTTATAATTGTCCCAATCTTTAATTACGTCCACTAATATCAAAATAACTTCTCCTTTTCCTTATTGAGAATCTAACTTTTATTTAAAGTAAATTACACACTGAATCCTTTTGAGGTTTAAAGAAATTACAATATATTTTATAATTTTAATATAATTTTACCATTTTTTTAAAAAAATTTTAAAAGTCATAACATTTTGTCCTATTTTATTGGAAAATTATCATTTTTTAGCAGTACCACTATTTTTTTTTCTATTTATTTTAAACAAATTTAGAAATAAAAAGCAAGTTGACGGGGCTAAAATTATATTTTTAACCATGGTAGATATTTTTTTGAGACTACTTAATTACAATTAGCTGGTTTTGATACAAAGTGGTCTTTTGACAAATAACAACATAAGGATAAAAATAATGTAATTATAAAAGTTAACAATGTTAATATATATGTTATTAGAAGAGATGTGACTGTGAGTGTAATTACCCCAAAATTACGAAAGTATTTTTTTTTTATTTCAAGGTAGGACATTCCAATTGTTAGTGTATATATATATATAGTTATATATTGTTGATTGGTAGTGATTATTGTACCTGCCATGTTTAGTGTGTGTGATTGATACACCTTCCTACTTAGTGTAACCATCCTATTTAGTGTACATTCTTTCCTCCTATAAATATAGGAGTCATCGTACTTGATTAAATACGATAACATATACAGAGTTTTACTTTTCTCTCTACATTATTTCATCATGGTATCAGAGCAATAAATTTTCTCTTCACTTTTTTCTTTTGTTCATCACTAGAATACATCATGATATTTCTGGTTCTTTTTGGATACTGATTACATACTGTCAGGCTATTCTATTCTATATTTTTCCTCCAACCACACCATTATCTTGCTCGGAATCTCCTCACCATTCCAACGCCACCACACCCATTGTCAAAGGGCATCTCACGCGCCCTCACGCGCAACCTCCATCACCACGCGTTACTGCCTTCTGTTGCCACTCACCAACGTGCCTCCATGCGCATCTCTATGAACACTGACATCAGCCCTCAGTCGCCGCTCCACGCCAGCCGCTGCTCCACGCCAAGCTGACTGAGCTGACTGTCGTCATCCTCTTGCTAACCTACGTTGCACACCCTCACTACCGTGCACCGTGCCTTTGCCTGCTATCGTGCGCCGTGCCTAGCTGACTCACGCTAACATTTCTGTTGACGTCAGCCCACCTTCTGCTGCTGACGTCAGCCCTAGTTTGACCCATTTCTTATTTTGGGCTATTTTCACTCATTTTTGGGCTATATTTTGGTTGGTTTGGTCACCTTTCCATCTATTTTCGACCTTCCCAACTCACTGGTACACTCTATTTTTGTTAATTTTGCCACCAGAGTGCTGTTTTTATTTTACTTTATTATTTTTAGAGAATTCCACACCATCATGGATCGATCCAACTCTGCTCATCCTATTTCTGTAATTCTTGATAGATCTAATTATGTTCTCTAGGCCCAAGCCATGTCTGGATTTCTCAAAGGCCGAAAATTATGGCGCATTATTACTGGGGATGTGCCTGAACCTACAAAGGGGGCTGAGGAAACTACAACCAATTTTGCCAATCGCTTGGAAAATTGGGACATAAAAAATTATCAAATCATCACTTGGTTCCGCAATACCTTTGTCACATCTATCAGTCTTCAGTTCGGTCGCTTTCAATTTGACTCAGTTGCTACCCTTGCTAAAGATATTTGGGACTTTCTCAAAGAACGGTATCAAACTACTGGACTTGTACATCATTATCAACTTCAGAGTCACCTCCATCGCATACGACAGGAGTCTGGTTAGTCTATTAATGATTTTTTGTCTCAAATATATTCTGTCTGGGATCAGCTTCCTATTTCTGAACCTACATGGCCTTATTCTGAAGATGCTGCTTTATTTATTGAGTATCGCAATCAGCAGCGGTTGGTTCAGTTTCTCATGGCTCTCACCCCTCATTTTGAGCCGGTATGTGCATCTCTCCTATATCGCACTCCGTTGCCTTCTCTTGAGCAAGCTATATCTGAGTTTCTATCTGAACTCATTTTGGTCCTTCCTCTACTCCACATACAAACTCCGTTCTAGCCACTCCTCAGATACGAAGTTCCTTTTCTCTCCCACAAACTCCTTAGTGCAGTTTTTGTCAAAATCGTGGTCTCCCATCTGCTCATCTTCTGGTTCATTGTTCAGTCAGGTCTTGCAGCTACTGTACCGACCATCTCCAACAAGATTGTTTTCGTAATCCATCACGTGCATCCTCTACTGGACCATCCTCCCGTGGATCTCACTCACGGGGACGTTCTCACCATTTCGGGAATCAGTCTCAGTCTATGCCTGCTCATTACACTGCTGTTATTACTTCTAAGGACTTCTCCTCTTCTAACCCTTTGGATTCTTCCACCCCAGTCTTCTCTCAGATAGATGTTAAAACCCTAATTAAACAGTTTCTCTCCGCTTCTGGTACTCCTCTTTCTACTGCTTTGTCTGTCACCTCAGGGACATCTTCCTAGTACTTTGATTCTACATATTGTAACCATATGACTTCTGACTCTACTATTTTTTCTTCTACATCTTCTTCCATACATACTGCTGATGGTTCTCTTATGTATGTGAGTCATATTGGTTCTATCTCTACATCTCACCTGTCCTTATCACATGTCTATCTTATTCCTGCTCTCACTTTAAATGTTATTTCCATTAGTCAATTATGTGAACATGGTCTAATTATCACATTTTCTGCTAATGGTTGTTTGGTGAAGGACCCTCGGACAGGACAAACCCTTGGGATTGAATGTAAGCATGGACATCTCTATGAGCTCATTCATCTTCATGTTCCAATCTCCACTCCATTGGCTACCCCTACATCTGCTTCCTCTATCTCTACATTATCACCTTTTCATCTTTGGCATTGTCGGTTAGGTCATATTTCTATTAATCGATTGAAATCTTTAATTTCTAGTGGTCAGTTAGGTCATGTCTCTTCAAATAATTTGGACTGTTTTTCTTGTCAACTTGCCAGACAACCGACTTTGTCCTTTAATAAAAGTATTTCTGTTTCTTGTGCTCCTTTTTATCTTTATACATTTTGATATTTGGGGCCCATCTCCTACACCCACAATGGGGGGAGCACGCTATTTTGTTATTTTTGTTGATGATTTTTCTTGTTATACTTGAATATTTCTTATGAAAAATCGTTCTGAACTCAAACAACTTTATTACAATTTTGCCAAAATGGTTCAAACCCAATTTTCCAAAACTATAAAAATCTTTCGTCCTGATAATGCTATGGAATACAATGATTCTGAATTTTTATCTTTTCTTCAAAATCAAGGTACTCAGCCTCATCGTTCTTGTGCCGGCACGTCCCAACAAAATGGACGTGCTAAATGAAAATATAAGCATATTCTTGATACTACTCGGGCTCTTTTCATTTCTTCATCTTGTCTTGAAAATTTTTAAGGAGAAGCTGCTTTATTGCTGTTTATACCATCAATTATGTTCCAACCTCAATCTTTCATAATCACATACCCTACGAGCAATTGTATAGTACCTTTCCCTTTTACACTGCTCTTCGGGTCTTTGGGTCTGCATGTTTTGTTCTTCTCCAACCTCATTAACACACCAAACTAAAACCTCGTTCTTTTCTGTGCTATGTTCTTGGATATGGCATTGAACATAAAGGTTATCGGTGTTGGGATCCCATTTCTAAGCGTCTTTGTATCTCTCACCACAGTCTTTTGGGAACATAAAATGTTTGCCTCATTTTCTTCCTTTCACTTATTTTCTCTAGCTTCCACTCTCTACTTTACTAATCTGTCTATAGATTTATTTCCTTATAATTTTGATGCAGGTTTTCATTCTCTAGACACGCCATTGCTTACGCTTGATCCCATCAAGCTTGTTCCCCCTAATGGTCCTCATGATGTCTCTTTGGCTTCCTCACCTCTTCATGAGTCTTCATCCTTTCCTATTCAGCCTTCTTCTTCCGGTTGTTCACAAAGGATAACACAACCTAATGTTTGTCTTCGTGATTATATTGTTGGTTCTACTTCCTTTTCTACTTATGAGCCTTCCATCTATCGTGAGGCCTGTTTTAACCCTCTTTGGCAACAAGCTATGACTGATGAATTGCAAGCATTAGGCAAAACTCATACTTGGAATGTTGTTGATCTTCCCCCTGGTAAGATTGTGATCGAGTGTAAATGGGTCCATAAAATCAAGACTCATTTTGATGGATCTATTAAGCGCTACAAAGTTGTTTGACTGCCCAGGGTTTCACTCAAGAATGGTATTGATTATGAGGAGACTTTTGCTCCTGTTGCTCGTCTCACTTCTATCCATAGCTTGATTGTTGTTGCTTGTAATTGGAGCCTTTTTCAGATGGATGTGAAAAATGCCTTCCTCAATGGTGATCTTCTTGAGGAAGTCTATATGCAACCCCCTCTTGGGTCTACTGTTCCGATCCATTAAGTTTGCAAACTGCAACGAGCCTTATATGGACTTAAGCAAGCTTCTCATGCTTGGTTTGCTAAGTTCAGTACTACTATACATGACTTTGGCTTCACTTCTAACTCCTATGACTCCGCTTTATTTATTCGCACCACTGCTTAAGGCACCATTCTCCTTCTTCTTTATGTAGATGATATGATTATCACCGGAGATGATGAGGCTAGTATTTTCGCCTTAAACAATTTCTTAGCCGCTACTTTGAGATGAAGGATCTTGGTACTCTCAATTATTTCTTAGGTCTTGAAATCTCTCATGACTCATTTGATTATTTTCTTTCTCACACCAAATATGCTTCTGATCTTCTCACTCGAGCTGCACTTACTGATTGCAAAACTACTTCTACTTCAATTGATCCTCAAACTCGTCTTACTCCTCTTGATGGCACTCTTCTTTCTAATGCTACTCTCTATCGGCAATTGGTAGGCAATCTTATCTACTTTACAGTTACTCGTCCTGATCTTTCATATGCTGTCCACATTGTCAGTCAGTATATGTTGGCTTCTCGCACACCTCATTATGATGCCCTGCTTCGCATTCTTCGCTATCTCAAGAGCACTCTATTTTATGGCCTTCACTATTCCTCTCTATCTTTTCTCAAGCATCATGCTTATTCTGATACTGATTGGGCTGGGGATCCCACTGATCGTCGCTCCACTACTGGCTTTTGCTTCTTCCTAGGGGATTCACTTATTTCTTGGCGCAGCAAGAAACAGGCTCTCACTGCTCGCTCTAGTACAAAGGCTGAATATCGAGCTCTTGCAGGTACTACCTAGGAACTTCTATGGCTCCGATGGCTCCTTACTGACATGGGTGCCGCTTCTATTGATGCTACCTCTCTCTATATTGTGACAACCAAAGTGATATTCAAATTGCTCATAATGATGTTTTCCACGATCACACTAAACATATTGAGATCGACTGTCATTTTATCTGCCAGCATGTTGTTCGTGGCACAATCCATCTCCATTCTATTGCCTCTGCTAATCAATTTGCTGATATCTTCACCAAGGCTTATCCCCCGGGTCGTTTCAGTGACTTAGTTTCCAAACTCATGTTGGTTAATGTCTATCCACCTTGAGTTTGCAAGGGGCTGTTAGTGTATATATGTAGTTTTATATTGTTAATTGGTAGTGATTATTGTACCTGCCCTATTTAGTGTGTGTGATTGATACACCTCCCTACTTAGTGTATATTCTTTCCTCCTATAAATATAGGAGTCATTGCACTTGATTCAATTCAATAACATATACAGAGTTTTACTTTTTTCTCTACATTATTTCATCACCAATTAATATTTTATTTTTTATTTTTTTGAAAGGAAAAAAAAAAAGTGACCTATTATTTTATTATGATATGTCATACTAAACTAGCAAAACTGAGTAGCCAGTGAGCATAGTGGTATTTTTTTTTTCCATTTCTAAAGATTATTAAAAAAATTATAAAATTTACTAAATTCTAATAAATAGAAAATATTTTAAAAACAAGTTTCATTCATACTTTTCTTTTCCATCCTGCCCTTCGACAAATCCCTCTATCTCTGGTGGTGAACAAACCAATCTAGTAATTACAACTTTTTCTGACCAGCTCCTTCCGTTTGTAATCACCTCTAGTCACCATCTCTCATTTCAAAACAATTTTTTTTTTTGTAAAATATGTACTAGTATATTACCCGTATTATACACTGGATTTTAAAATATATATAAAAAAAAAGTTATTATATATATATTTTTATAATGGATCTTCCTTATCAAAAGATTTTATATACAGCTTATACGTTGATCTCTACACCTGTTAACCATTTCTTTTTAAAATGTTTCCTCCGATAACTCTTTTCAGCCTCCATCCTTCGCCAACTATCATCTTTTCAATTTTCATCATCTGTCCTTTAACCGCATCAGCTCATATTTAAACCACATTTACTACGCGATTACCTCAACTTGTAACCTTCATTCCCTACATTTTCCCCCAAGTCAACCTCTACCCCCCCCATAATCTCTCTTTTCAAATCTCACATTACCTCCACCCTTTCTCTTATATTGTTTGTTTGTTTGGCTCATTTGAGAATAAATTAATTGAATTGGTATAGAGTTTCAAGTAAGCTCAGACTTGACTAGTATAAAATAAAGAATAATTTATATATGATGTATGTACAAATAATAATAATAAAAATGAACAAAAAAAAGCTTCTTACTTAGTATTTTTTTCATGCTATGAAAATTTACACAATATAGGATTTATTAATTTCCATTTATGTCATCTTATTTCCAATCAACTTCTCCAATGCTTAACATATATATGGAACATAAAATCTCAACATAGGCATTACCATCAATCCCTAACATGAAGATTCATTAAACTCCTAAGATTTTACAAAAGAATGTCCCACATGCGGTTATACATTCAATATTTCTAGAATATGAATCTATAGCACATAACATGATAAGTCAAGTACGAATTAATACCCTCAAGGGCTACAAATTCCAAGACTTAAGCTCGGTTACACAAAAATGATTTTCCGAACCCATACATGTAAAGCCATTGGCTTGTCAAAACAATTACAACAAAAGAAAATAGCCTCGTGCTCTCAAGACATATTCCACGCCTCTAACTCGACGGGATCACCATATCATTTCCTACACAAAATCTCATAGGGTGAGCACAAAGTCCAGTAGGAAAATATTCACAAAGTATTTACATTTTATACAATTTCATGGGATGAATGCATATGACATGCCATGTTCAAAAACATATATCTCTATCTTTTGAAACTTTTGTGCATAATGCAATCTTGAGAATTTAACAATTCAATAATTTCAGTGTAATTCAAAGGGGCGGTAAATACAACTCAGGTAATCCTTATGTTGGTGTCTACAAGTAGACAACAAGTACTACCAATCCCCACTTTACCGGCAACTAACTGGAAGGCACGTGGTACCTCCTCCGTGCGTGTTTCCGATCTTTCACCATGGACACTCAGGCCAACTTAACCAATACCAATTACACTCCCTATCTGGATTTACCAACGTATTTACCCCCAAAACAAATCAATATGATATTGTTTCACAAAACAATTTCCTTACTCAAAGCAATACTTTTCTAATGAAAGATTCAAAATCAATTGCATCTATGACAAAATGTAATGACAATGCAAAATGTCCAATGCATTAATATAATCCATTTTTAATTTCTCCTACACATATCTCCATTGCGATCACTTTCCACATCTCTTATCAATGCAACATCATAATACATTTACAAGAGATAAAATAACAGAATATAAATTTTCAAGCATTTTTCATATGTTAATCATCATAATATAATTCTAAAGGATGATATAACAACCTCAACATTCATGTATTTTCCACACGTTCAACATCATTTTCTAAATATTGATTTTCCAAGACAACTCAACCATAAGCATCAAAGTCAACAATTTTCCATTTCCTCTATGAAATTCCTCATGTAATACAACTATAGAAATTTCTCCATCATTTCTTCACAAAAAAAAATTATTAAGCATCAATTTTACAATATCTCAACTTTTTTCCAAAATCCCCAAATTCTAAGATTTCCACCAAAACAAGGTTTTTGTTCCATTTTTTAAAAGATTTTTTCAAAACAACACCCACACCTTAGAACATAACTCATATTCTCAAAAGTTTTGAAAAGTAGATAAAATCATCTTCTAACATCATATAGGGTTCAACAACCCAATATCATAACTCAACATGTAATAAATTCTTCAAACAAGCATAATCTTGCAAATATGTATACATAACACAAAGATTATCCCTACCTCAAGCTTGGGAGATGAAGAGAAAGAAAATCCTAGAAATCAACGTTGGCGAAAACACAATCCAATCGGTTATACATGTAGCCCCTGTCACCCTCTTCGATTTGGTATAAAAATCCCCCTCAAACTTTTGAAGATTTGAGCTAAATCTTAGAGAGAAGTTGAATTTGGATGTGCTTTTAGAGAGAAGTGAGAGAAAATATGAGTATAGAGGAGAGAGAGAGAGAGAGAGAGAGAGAGAGAGAGAGAGAGAAGTGAAAAATATGTGACTATCATGTTTTGGCATCAGTTTTGAGGAAAAAAAACGCAAAAATCGAGACAGACGCACCGAAATCCGCCCGAGAGGTTTCAATTTCGTACAAACGGAATTTCCAATCCGCACAAGTGGAATTTTCTGTCTCATGGGCGGATTTCTCTAGAGAGCTGCCCAAAAATTTCACCAAAAATCCGCTCGAGCGGGACGCAAAATCTGCTCAAGCGATTTTCTGCCCATAAAACCTAGCAGACTCTGTGAAGATCTGCTTGGGTGGCTCCTAATTCCGCACAAGTGGTTTTGCGCAGAAACCAGAGTTTAGTTTTTGCAATCCAAAACAAGTTCCAATGCTCAAAACTCAAATTTTATAACCCAGAAAAGTTAAGAGGGGTTAAGTAGGAGTAGAAAGGGAATCTCAATGACCCGATACGGTAAACCAAATACCGAAAGAAAAGCATACTACCCTACTATACAATACTATTCAAGCCCAAGGCCCGGGACATCACAATTTTTTGTAGTGTTTTTCTTATTATTATTGTTGATTTTTTTATTTATCAAATCGTAATGATGAAATTAGTCATTGAGGTTATTAGGTTAAAATCAATTTTTAGATTGTGTGATCATAGTACATGTAGGTATGAGAAAACAAAAGGGAAAAAAAATTACATATACAAAAAATAATTCAAGTTTGAAAAAAATTATTCACAGAGCAAAATTAAAGTTTGCAAAAGAAAATGATCAAATGTGTCATATATACTTGAATAAGCTAAGGAAATCAAAATTCTCTTCATATGTATATCAAATCATTTGATTTTGTAATTGAAAACAAAACAATATCAAAATAATACCATAACCAATTTAAAAATTATGAACAAAAATCTAATAGATCTCCTTTACCTATAAAGATATACATATTCTAATAATAATTATTAGTCAACACTACACACACATTGCATACTTGATGTTCAAAAACATATTTGAAATTTAAGGATATTCCTTATCTATAACAAATATTTAGCCACTCATGGTTAATCAATAATTTTTTTAAATCACGGTTAGCGAAGCCAATAGTTAGCCTTATTTATAAAAAATAGTTTAATAGTAACCCATAATTAATCAATAACTTGTAAAATCATAATTAGCCTATAGAATATTCTAAAATCATTGGTAGCGTAAGAGTTTCCAAAATGTTTTTTTCTTAAAAGCTCAATTTTAAAAAAATTATCACAACTCTATTTCAAAAAACAAAATAGAGTTTAAAATTTATCAGTGAAAAATCGAAAATACCCGAGATATTGATTTATGATTATGTTTCAATTTTAATCAATGAATAATAATCCCAACCAAACAATCAAAAAACAAATTGATACAACGATTTAATGTGGAAAAAATACAAGTGGAATGCCTTCAATTGTGATAGAAAAAACTATGGGCAAAGTTACAAAACAATCCATTAAGAAGACAAAAAGAAATTACACAAGTGTATCTTCAATTACCTTGTGAATCCATACCCGAATTGAATCGATCCCAATGTACCACTTCTACCACCGTCTTCATATCGGAATTGTCTTGTCCAATGTTGAATGCACAACGCCAATGTCGAATCCACAATAATGAGCCACTCAAGAAACCCCCAAAGTTTCAAGCCCAAATTCTCTGGAATCCACTAAATAACAACTCTCTCTTTTGTGAATAAAAGAAAACAAAGTTCATGAATCCATTAATCA